CTCGGCCTTTGGGCCCCTTCCCCCGGGAACTAGTTCCCCCCCAGCAAAACGTTTGGCCTCCCCCGGGGTGGAAAAGCCCCTCCGGCCGGGGGGAACCCCCCCTTTCCAAACAAAACCCCCCCCTTTAAAAAAAGGGGTGGTTAAAAAAACCTTTACCCCCCCCCCCCCCCCAAAAAAAAAAAAAAATTTTTGGAAAGGTTACCCAAAGGCCTTTGGGGCCCCAAATGGGGTGTCTAAAAGCGTTGTAAATAGGGAATTCCCTTAAAACTTTTTCCCAATCCCAAATTTAAAATTGTAAAATCTGTTTTTAAATTAATTTTTCCACATTATTTCCAAAATCTTTTTAAATGGTTTTTTTCCCCCTTTTTTTCTTTCCCCCAAAATTTCCCCCTTTCCCTCTTTTTCCTTTTTTTTCCCTTTTTTAGTTTTAATTTCTTTTCCCCCAAGTTCTAAAAAAAAAAACCCTTTTTTTTGCAAAAAAATTTTCTTTAAAAACTATCCTGAATTTAAAAATATATATGAAAAACCCTTTTCCCCCTGTTTCTAAAAAAAAAAAAATACCTTTTAAAAAAATTTTAAAAAATTTGATTTCAAAAAATTTACCCAAAAATCTCTCCCTTTTCCCCTCTTCCCCTTTTTGCCCCCCATTTTTAAAAAAACCCCTTTACCCCAAAACCCATTAAATTATACTTTCAAAATCTCAATTAAAAAAAAAAAATTTCCCAAAAAGGCCTAAATCAAAAAAAAACCTCATCCCCCCACCCCCTATTTCCCCCTTTTTCCCTCCGGTTCATTAAAATGTCCCTTTTCTTCAATTATTTTTTTTTCTAATATCAAAAAGGGATCAAAAAGGAATCCCCTTTCGGGATAAGAGGTCTGTAAAAATGACTAAAAAAAAAGTAATGTAAATGTAAATTTCCTCAGCGCTTACATGTTTGTCGTCACTTTCCAATGCATCTCTTTGATAGGTTAATCAAGGAACATTTTTCCTTTTACTCTCAATTGTCCTTAATCAACTTTTCTCCTTAAAATCCCTTCCTAATTATTAATTTCATATGTTTAACCTCTTTATCCATCAGATAAGCTTGTTTGAGTATTCAATCTCACTTATAGTCCTTTTTCCCCATTTCTGAAGAAATAATTACCAAACGGTGATATTTGCAAACAACACTTTCCAATTCAATCTATCACTAAGAATCTGAATTTAAATGATTCATGTCACTTTACCCTTTTCCCTCCTTGAATTCTTTATCAAAAAAAATCACATGATATTGAAAACATTAACACTGTATTGGCTCAATAATCAAAAAGATTTATTCTCAATATACTGATTCTTGATGGTTCACCCTACTTCATCCCTCTTCATCCAGATTCATTCACCATTCAACTACGATGAGTGTTGTCCTCCAGGCATCACTTACTTCCAACCATCTCAATATATAGCTTTCTCAAAGGCATAACAATACAAAGAAAACTTTCACACATGCTTTCTAATGCTTATTAAAATCTAAAGAACACCTTATCTCCCAATGTCTAACTGTCTTCACCTTCGCGAACCTCCGTTCTTCCAGATTTCCAAAGCATCCCGTTTTTCTTCAATGCATCTGATAACATTTTTATGGTGATATTCTGCATCAAGTTTTCCTATATTATTTCCCAATTTTGCAAATCCACCCCTGAAAAATCCCCACTTCCTCGTAGACTTAAGCCTCTAATTGCTTTCCACATATGAGGGGTCTAATTTGATGCTGAGTATATGTTTCCTTTATCAATGTATTTTTATGGCTTAATCACTATCAATGTTTAATTTTGAAGTTGATTTTTTCCGTGGTTTAATACTGACAGTTTGATGTCCTTGTGGTTAACTTAGAAACCAGCTCTCTTTTCTTCCCTAAGTACTTGACTCCTTTGTTTCTTATCATCCACTAGTAACTTCACCTTCTAACATTGAACGTACAACGGTCCAGAGTTCCTTCCAACCTGGTCTCATACTTTGTACCTAACGTTTTCTCCTTAACTTTAAAAACCTACTACTTTATGATATTGCAAATTCTTTTACCAACCAATTTCAGGTGTAAAGGGTAATCCCCTGTCTATTGACTTCTTCCACACAGTTGCAAACTGTTTAAACCTTTAAGCTTAGTTTGAAATCTCTAGTTTTACCTATGATGTACCCTTTAAATTCGTCAAACCCATTTGTATTTTTTTAAACATCTATCACGACAGATTGTCAATAGCAGTCATAATTCCAAAAACATACTTTTTTAATTTCTAATAAATCAAATCAAATTTATTGTCACATGCGCAATACAAAGGTGAGTAATTTCATGAAATGCTTACTTAGCCCTTAACCCAAGTGCATAAGTTTTACAGAAAAGTAGAAAATAAACCAAAAAGAAAACAACCTATATCCAGAAAAACAGACAAACCAAAAAATAAATGACGTAGGGATATATACAGGGGGGGTACCTTTCCAACAATCCACCCTTCAGTCAAGATTATATATGTTTTTTTGGGGGCAGTTTGTACTATGCATAAATAAATTCGAGGAAGGCGGGGAAAAAAAAAGAGGGTTTTGCCCCCCCCGGGCCCCCCTTGGGGTAACTAGTTTTTTCTTCCTTTTCTTATTCGATTATTCAATTTATCCTATCACCCTCTTCTTACTGAAGGTCCGATTTGGGAACTCTAAGTTCTCTTTCTGTGATCTGAATGTAGGTAATATATAATTCAATAGTTTTGCTTTCCTGTTGTTAACAATTATCCGTTATTTATCGACTTTCATTGTCCCTAAGATGAACCCTGAGAACCACTCTCCATGTTCCTTCTTCGTTTTCCTTTTCCTACTTTGAACTACCCCTTAGGTCCTTGACAAGCACTTCTCATTATCTTGATTACTCAGGTTTACAACTTTAACTGCTGTTGTTCATGTCAGGCCACGTATTCCTTTGACCGCAATTAGCCATACGTTTATTGGTAATCCCTACTTTTTGTACTTCATCCACAGGTGTCAAACATTAACATTCTTTACCAGTTTAAATCTTTATCTTTAATGTGAATATTTTATATTTTAATTACCCTATGTGCCTCCCTTTAATTTTGTATATAACCAATTTTGTCTAATTTTTTCAAAAATCTACATACAAATTTAAATCTAAAAATCAAATTAAACATATTAAATTGGTTACTGTAATAAATAAGTATCAGAATTTATGAATGAAAATTATTTTACCTTACCAATGCATTTATATTTAGAAAATCTTACCACTCAATCAGAAAAGACAAAAAGTGCAACTTCAGAGCAAAAAAAGAAAAAACTATAGTCCAGAAGATACAGTACTACCCATTATGAGGGGTACCATTTCTAATTTTACAATATGTCGTCCGATTCCAACACGGCTAGTACTCATTAAGGAACTCAATCATTGGGTTATTTTATGATCTTTTGCCAAATTTTAACAAAGTCAGAGTAAAAATCCTGAGGGGAAGGCAGGTTGTCAAAAGTACTGGCCTGATTTGTCCCGGAGTCCTCTGGTTGGGTACACTTGCACTGTGATGTACTTGCACCTATTTGCATCTCTCCGGTACCCTTCTCGTCAAGAGAAGAACAGTCTATGAAGGTTGGTGGAGTTTGGACAGTTTTGAGCCATTCATATTACTCCCCCAAATTTGGTCTAAGAAGTATCAGGACGAAATGCCCCATGACATTTTTGGGTATTTACTCCTTTATTGCCTTGCTTTTAAACGCCAAGCATATCATCCTCGTTATCAATAATAGTCAGGAAAACTTTCATGTCAAGCTGCCGATTTAGAAACTAGGACACCATGAAAATCTCTCTCTTCCTTCTGGGGTGTTTTCCGCCCCGTGTAGCAGGATGCTATTTAGCCCTATATCTAGTGGTCGTGAAACCACCATGGCAGTTCAGTCCCAACGTTTCCCACACAGCCGGAAGAAGGGGGACGTGCTCAGTCCTCATTATCAGTCAACAACATCCCCTTCTCTTGGCTCTTAGGGAGAGTTTTACGGACCACACGGCATAGTTAAACATCTACCACACAACATTTAGGGTTCATGCCACCAATGGCCTCTGGCACATGTTAGCATGTAGCTGGAGCATGCCTGGTGCATGTGGAACAGATGTACAATGGAACCTGCACGCCCAGGCCTGTTCTTTGGTCCTACTTTGGCAGGTGTTTACCCTACCACGGGGGGGCCCAGGACAGTCAGATCCAGTTGAGAGGGAGTGTTTAGTCCGGATCCCTAGTGGATATAACGGTGTTGAATGCGGATGTTTAGGCAAACAATGTCGTTGGGTCTTTCCAGTGAAGGGCCTTTTTGTAATTTTGGGCCCTATTTTCCTCGTTGTCTTGAATTTTCGGGGTTCCCCAAAATTTATTTGCGGTAAGCTAAGTGGTGGGCAGTGCAATAGTCCGGGTGCCAGATTAGGTCAGAGTCTATGGCTTGGGGGTAAGCTGTTGAAGCTTTGGCAACTTGCATCCGTACCGCTTCGTGGGAGAGAGAACAGCTAACAGTGGCTGATTGTTGATCCTTTTGCGCACCCTTGCCCCTGACCTGGTACGAGTTCCTGGATGCACTGCCCCTGATGTACAACAGAAAACGCACAACCCTTTAGTAGTGTTGCAGTACGAGTTATTCAAGCATTCATATTCTCATCAACTTTGTCAAGATACTCAGGATCGCTAAGTGTCAATAACATTTTTAGTTGATTTACCTATTAAATCTTTTATCTTAATTCGGGGAACATATCTCTCTCTTCATTAATATGTCTAGGAAGCTTTGGATCTCAAACAGTCGATGTACAATAGACATCCAAGGGTTCAAGTCTCTCTCTGTTCTGATTCTAATCCCGTCAAGCAGTGGTAGGCAGGACTTTTTTCAGCCCACTCATCTATGTCTCGTTAAAATCACGCATGGAGTTTTGTCGGCACCACGTTTCAGCCGTGGTGCCGCCTCTGAGCTGCTCTCGTTCCCAGGCCAACCAATGTTGAACGTCCGCGTAACTCAGTTTGCGTTACCCGACACATTTACAGTGCTCAACATAGACTAAGAGCTACACACCAACCTATTAGGGCCTGTATTCCATTCAATGGCCGTCTAGGTCAATGTTAGCACTGTACCAGCTAGGGGGCCTGTACATGTAGCAGGTCCATTAGCAATGGACTTCAGTCCGCCAATTCTTGTTCTTTGGTCCCTAACTTTGCTGCGCAGTTATGGATATTCTATGAGCGCAATCAAACGTATGTCGTCGTATAGGATGACAGTACTGTCATAGAATGTATATAGATCACTCTCGTCCCAGATCACCTAGCAGTCTAGCTTATCAGGAGTTTGGCCCTTAAAGATCAGCTTGTTAGAGTCTTTCCAGATCGCCACTTTCCAACTTGTGTACATATCTTGGCCTTATTTCTTTCCCTCGATTGTTCTTGAATTCCTATTCAAGCAACATTCAAGCAACATCCAAGCAACATCCCCCCTATTTGCGCCGTTTACCAGTGCAACCAAATTTAGAATATTTATGACAGACCCCTAGTCTACAGCAATAACAGCACACCCAAGTACTTTACACGGTACATCTCCCCAGCGCACACTCAAATAGCCTTCGAACTAACAAATGCCCAAAGTGGTGAGAAACTCACCCTTATCTGGCCATGACTTCGGAACCAGAGTCAGCTCGGCGCCCATGAATGGAACAAAGGAGAGACGCAGACCGGTCCCTGTTCGGGCGCCATTTTGTAGTGTCGAGTCAATGTTGCCAATTATTGCTGCTAAACAAAGGAGTCCGCCCATACTGAACTTTGATCATAAGTTTTATTCATATCACAAGATTTCAGCATAAGTTTACGGATGTCATGATCACCCGGAGAGCAGTGTCCTCCAAATTACAATGTCTGCTCTGCCGTTTTTTGTCTCTAGCCTATACTTATAAGATATACAAAAATATGGGTGGCTCCCTCTACTGTCCAATCACCTGTCTCCAACGAACAGGGGTGTCACTACAAAATGGCTCCCTCTACTAAATAAACAACCTCTCAGGTTCCACTTAAAACCTTATCCAAGTCATAATTCTTCATATACTACAATCCATCCCTGCAGGCTGCTCCCAACCAACCCACAGGTCCAGCAGGCACCCCCAGACCCCATCCCACCCCCAAACCCAGTCCTCTGCCCCCCAAACCAGACCACACCCAACTGGAGCTCCAGCTCAGCAAGTTCTGGCAGCGGCGCCCGGCGGAACTCGGAACACTGCAAGCCCCCAGACCTCCTGCGGGTGAAGAGCACCTTCATGTCCCTTTCCACCCCAGCTCTGACTGTGTGACGCCTGCCAGCCACCAAAGCCTTCCTCCCCCCACCCCGACCAGGCCCAACCCTTCTGCTACTCCCTGTGGCCCATCCAGTTTCGCCTGGCCCAGCCCGGCACCAGCCGCCCTGTGTGGACAGACAAACAGGAGAAGGAAGGGGGGCAGCGTGGAGAGGGGGGCCAGGAGCTAGGTGAAGACGCACAGAGCTCAGTCCAGGAAGAGAGAGAGGAGAAAGAGCACACGGAGGAGCTGTGATATACTCACACTGAGACACTCATTTTGGTTAGTGGGCAGCAATATGCATTGCCGAGGTTGGAACCTCTCCATGAAAGGAATCCCGCTTAGCTTTTCATTACAGAAAAGCCCTAGATCATGTATGAAAATGATAAAATATGTTTATCCCCTGAACAAAACAGATGATTCTGTCTTTGATGCTTTGCATTTTGAGGTGGCTTCAATAATGCAATTGCACAACAGTATGACAACTGGTCCTAGCACACCTATCCAACACTGTTCTAATCTGTACCAACAACAACAACAACAACAAATGCAGCACAATACACACACAACCATGTTGAAGCTGTGGCTTGTTTTTATGACTGCTTTGTCTCTCATGTAAACAGGAGGATTCTTTCAACAACAGTCAACACTGTCTCTTGTTTCTCAATTGCTTTATCTGCATAATTCTAAAAGGGAAGCTGACAGGCTTCAGAAGAAGTTAAGTTTCCTTTGTGACACCGTCAAAGTGAAAAGACCACTGAGGAAGTTGCGTGGCTCTCTGCGTGCAAACTGACAGGAAGGAAGAACGAGTGCACTGTGACACTGCTCACAGTTTTTTGCTTCTTGACTCAACTCATCTCAGGAACTGTGGCACATTTTTCTTGGTATTTCAGGGATAGTGATATTGTGTTTAAGAAAAAAGGGGGACTGAGAAGTTAAGCGACATAGCCCGTCCTTCCCTCCGCACCAGGCTTGTCCTCTTTTCCTCTCTATCCCCCTCCCTCTCTCTACATATCCCCCCTGTCTGGTCTAGTGCGGTGCAGAAGCTGTGGGGATGGGTGCAGACGGAGGCAGATGGTACAGTAGAGTTAGTGTGAGGATTAGGGACTGAGGGTGAAGGAAGGAGTTTTCTGTCTGTCTGGACTGGACTAGGCTACAAGAGGAGAGGAGAGGGCTACCTGGTCATGGGATGCTGTAGTGTGACTCAGAGAGGAGCGCATTCTGGGATTGACGATGTGGGCCCTGACGAGATCGAGCTTCTGGAGATTGACAACTCAGGGTGAGTCTTTGTTTGTTGATAGTTTGATGTATAACAGAAGACCATGAACTCTATCAATCCCTCATGGGAGCGATCTGTTTAAGTTCGATAGCCATTCGGCCTTTCACAACCTCACAATCCCATTTGAATTTGATTCGGAAACATGACTGTGGCAATTTTTTATATATTGATGACACATGACAGCATTTAAGACTAACAAGCAAATTCTCTGATATCTCTGTTGAAAATACTGAGCCTCTTGGCTTTGGAGGAAAGTTTGAATTAATACTATTAAACAGTACCTATTGTTGGGTTTTGGCTGATTAAAGGTCATAAGAAGATGCATTGAGAGGAAGTGGTGAACATTGGGGTGATGGGTGAAAAAAATAGTGCTTCAACCACTGTGGCTTCCACTGACCTTTTCAAACAAACGAGTTTCAAATTATGTGAGAGAGATCACTATGGTAAACTGTCAGGGTTTATATTCAAGTCCCTTCGTCTGTGTTTCTGCAGAGTTATGTAGTTGCCAGCACCAGTCAATCAGAATAACTATATAGCCTAAGGGCAATACCACAATCTTATATTGCTTCAGTTTTCACAGCGAAGCGATGCTGATCATGGTTTTACTAGGATATGGGCAATGAAATTGGAAGGCCTCTTTCTCTGAGCACTTCAGAACTTCAGTTCCATGAGTAAGAAACAATAACATTTGATGGCATATATTATGTAACTATGAGTATATCTGTGTCGTGTTCATTCACACAAAAGCACACACAGAGGCAGAATGCTAGTTTGGACTCTGTTTAGTCGCCATGAACATACTGATACTCACTGATGAGTATCATCTCTCCCTCCTGTCCAGCCTCGTCTAACACGGGCCAGGCCTCTAAATCCCCTCAATAAAGGAGTGGGGGATTAAAACGAGGAGCTAATCATAATAGCAGCTCACAGACTGCATGTGTCCAAACTGGGAGAAGACGAGGGATCAGCCACCAGCAACATATACTATGCACACACGCAAGGATGCTTGTTCGCACACACACATGCACACATTTATGAATGTATGCACACACACAGAGACAGACACACAAGCACAAACACATATGTAACAGAACTGTTACCAAACATAGGGAATGGTTTAGGGGTGTGTAGCTACTTTATTATTACCAGATAAATGGGCCAATGAGGGCACAAGGTTTTTGTGTGAGGTGGTCAGATGGTGGGTGTCTGCTCCTTATGTGCACCCCACTTTAATCTGCTTACGTCTGGACACTGGTGGGGTGGAGAGGGCTCAGGCTGTAAGCGAGGTGGGCAAATTGGTCTACAGTAAAAAAAAAAAAATCCCTCTTCTACATTTGCTTTCACTACACTCAGTTCAGGGGAATTGCACATGCGTTTGTAGACTAGTTAGGTTTGTGAGATGCTACAGTAGAGTGTGGGGTAAATGTGACATGGTTTAATGGGATATGGTTTAATGGGATATGGTTTAATGTGATATGGGGTTGACTGCTGATATATACAGTATATATCTTTGTTTCAGGATATGGAATCTAGGAGAGAGCAGGCTTCAGCTCTCTGTGAGGAATGGAAAAGATGGTCCACCCTCTCGCTACCCTTCAGTGAGACACCTTGACCAGGAGGTCAGTGGAGGAGAGGGTGTGTGTGTGTGTGTGTGTGTGTGTGTGTGTGTGTGTGTGTGTGTGTGTGTGTGTGTGTGTGTGTGTGTGTGTGTGTGTGTGTGTGTGTGTGTGTGTGTGTGTGTGCGTGCGTGCGTGCGTGCGTGCGTGCGTGCGTGCGTGCGTGCGTGCGTGCGTGCGTGCGTGCGAGCGTGCGTGCGTGCGTGCGAGCGTGCGTGTGTGAGAGCGAGAGAGAGACAGAGAGAAAGACAGAGAGATACAGAGAGAGAGCGTGTCTGTATGAAAATGACACTTATCACACTGTAAAACTCCCAGCGGATCAAGTGTACATACAGTATTAGCACTTGTGAGTGTAAATGCATGGTGTCAATGGTGCCAAACGTCAACATACCATTTTATGTAAAAGCTGTTATATCACATTAATGATACAGTAATACTCCACTACATTTTATTTTACATGAGACAGCTGAAGTATTCTATTATATTCCCCTAGGTTGTGCTATGGGGCAGGAGCAGAGAGGAGCTACACCACAGTATATACAACCAGCCCATCCGTGACTGGGAGGGCCAGCCTGCACACATGTATGGTGAGATAGTGCACTCCTCCCTGGTGTCTCTCCACAACAGCTACACACAGGTAACATCTTTCTATACCATGCTCAGATATACTGTAGACGTCAATCATCACTCACTGTCCAGCACTCACTGTACAGCACTCACTGTCCAGCACTCACTGTTCCGACTCTAGTACTTCCATACTGATGTTCTGTTCATATGCTTTTCTTTGTTTATGTTCCTATAGGAGAAAAGTGAACACTATCTGGTGCTGTTCTCCTTCCACTTATTGATCCTATCTCTGGACCCCTCTCATCATGACTTTATCTACGAGGTTGGTTCCTTTACAAATGGGGAAATACTGTAACGACACAGATGCATGTTGAACATTTAACTTAACTAAGGCTAGTCAGTGTGTTGCTTCTTCTTTCTCAGGGCATCCTGCCTCTCTCTGGACTTTCTTTCCAAGCCACCTCACTGGACTCCAACATGCAACACATATTCCAGATCAGTGGTGAGTCCTATTATCATTATGGATCAAAAAGAGGTGCTGCAGCTTCATAGTTCAATAAAGCAATTAATACACAAGGGAGTTTGATTTATTGTGTTTTATCACGGCTGTGCTATGTTCATAGGTATGAAGCAAGCCATCAGTAAAGGATTTAATTATTGTATTGAACATCGCTAGCATCTCCCTCCCACTATTAGGTCCAATGGTGGACTCCAAAGTCTTCACCTGTGCCAGTGCAGCAGAGCTGAACAAATGGATGCACCACATGGAGGAGAGGAGATACAAATCCATGAGCCAACCGCTAAGTCCCTCCCGCTGTGCACTGTCTTACCTGGTAAGGTATTCAATCAGCACACCCCCTATAAGAACCACCCCCTTTTGCAGTAAATTACAGATCTTAAACAGATGTGTCATTGCTACATCTAAAACTGTCTTAACAATTGTGAGGTTTACTTTGCTTGATCACAAATTGAACATCTAATGAGCTAAATATATCATCATGAAAGGACATTTGTAAAAAAGTATTATCATTGGCGAAATGCTCCATATATGAAGCTACATTTCTGTTGTCATTTACTGTAGGTACCCTGTGATGAGAGCTGGAAAAAAGAGGAACTGAAAAATTATTTACTGCAAGCCCCAATAGGGCACTGGGAAGGGGCCCCCATCCAGCACATGGGCCAGCCAGGATTCCTATCCATGGTCCACATCATTAATACACAGAGACAGGTAGCTAACACAACCCACGCTGTAACTTCTGTACTCACCACTACTCTGAAGTCCATTTCAAGGGGTCTTGATAGCTTAATAGTTGTCATAATAGCCGGCATGTTACGATTGAAATACAGTGGGGGAAAAAAGTATTTAGTCAGCCACCAATTGTGCAAGTTCTCCCACTTAAAAAGATGAGAGAGGCCTGTAATTTTCATCATAGGTACACGTCAACTATGACAGACAAAATGAGAAAATAAATTCCTGAAAATCACATTGTAGGATTTTTTATGAATTTATTTGCAAATTATGGTGGAAAATAAGTATTTGGTCAATAACAAAAGTTTCTCAATACTTTGTTATATACCCTTTGTTGGCAATGACACAGGTCAAACGTTTTCTGTAAGTCTTCACAAGGTTTTCACACACTGTTGCTGGTATTTTGGCCCATTCCTCCATGCAGATCTCCTCTAGAGCAATTATGTTTTGGGGCTGTCGCTGGGCAACACGGACTTTCAACTCCTTCCAAAGATTTTCTATGGGGTTGAGATCTGGAGACTGGCTAGGCCACTCCAGGACCTTGAAATGCTTCTTACGAAGCCACTCCTTCGTTGCCCGGGCGGTGTGTTTGGGATCATTGTCATGCTGAAAGACCCAGCCACGTTTCATCTTCAATGCCCTTGCTGATGGAAGGAGGTTTTCACTAAAAATCTCACGATACATGGCCCCATTCATTCTTTCCTTTACATGGATCAGTCGTCCTGGTCCCTTTGCAGAAAAACAGCCCCAAAGCATGATGTTTCCACCCCCATGCTTCACAGTAGGTATGGTGTTCTTTGGATGCAACTTCTTTGTCCTCCAAACACGACGAGTTGAGTTTTTACCAAAAAGTTATATTTTGGTTTCATCTGACCATATGACATTCTCCCAATCCTCTTCTGGATCATCCAAATGCACTCTAGCAAACTTCAGACGGGCCTGGACATGTACTGGCTTAAGCAGGGGGACACGTCTCGCACTGCAGGATTTGAGTCCCTGGCGGCGTAGTGTGTTACTGATGGTAGGCTTTGTTACTTTGGTCCCAGCTCTCTGCAGGTCATTCACTAGGTCCCCCCGTGTGGTTCTGGGATTTTTGCTCACCGTTCTTGTGATCATTTTGACCCCACGGGGTGAGATCTTGCGTGTAGCCCCAGATCGAGTTAGATTATCAGTGGTCTTGTATGTCTTCCATTTCCTAATAATTGCTCCCACAGTTGATTTCTTCAAACCAAGCTGCTTACCTATTGCAGATTCAGTCTTCCCAGCCTGGTGCAGGTCTACCATTTTGTTTCTGGTGTCCTTTGACAGCTCTTTGGTCTTGGCCATAGTGGAGTTTGGAGTGTGACTGTTTGAGGTTGTGGACAGGTGTCTTTTATACTGATAACAAATTCAAACAGGTGCCATTAATATAGGTAACGAGTGGAGGACAGAGGAGCCTCTTAAAGAAGAAGTTACAGGTCTGTGAGAGCCAGAAATGTTGCTTGTTTGTAGGTGACCAAATACTTATTTTCCACCATAATTTGCAAATAAATTCATTACAAATCCTACAATGTGATTTTCTGGATTTTTTTTCTTCTCAATTTGTCTGTCATAGTTGACGTGTACCTATGATGAAAATTACAGGCCTCTCTCATCTTTTTAAGTGGGAGAACTTGCACAATTGGTGGCTGACTAAATACTTTTTTCCCCACTGTATGTCACAATAAGGCATGTTGTCAAGGAATGAAAAAGTCAAGAATATGTGAAATTTTGTCATTTAGAAGACACTCTTATCCAGAGCAACTTACAGTAGTGAGTGCATACATTTTTCATGCTTTTCTCTGTACTGGTCCCCCGTGGGAATTGAACCCACAACCCTGGCATTGCAAGTGCCATGCTCTACCAACTGAGCCACACTGGACCAACTGGTGGCAGAAATGGTGGCAGAATGACCAAAAAACTGCAGAAATCCATTACATCTCCAGCAAAAAGCCACAAAAGCTCAACAGCTGATCAAGAGCTCAACAGTATTTTATGCAAGTGGTAAGCTGGGTAGGTGAAGCTAGCTAACCAAAATGTACAGAGATGAAAACTCACCAAAAGACACAAATCCACGAAAATGACACAACTGCTGCCGCCATTGTAACTTTAGGGGCCGTATACAGCTGGATGGATGACTTCCTGTAAGCTGCAAGGACTGGATGATGGAGGATGATGGAGACGGATAACTATTTAGGCAGACCCCATTGAATAGGCTGTGGTAACTAGTGACAACCCATTGAATACCGTTAGCCACAACTCAAGAACTGTCTGTCACTTCCTGTTTCAATAAAGCTATTAAAACACAATTAATGCATTGGTAAATCAGATGACAGATCATTAGTTCCCATGCAAAGATTTTCTATTATATTGACAAGATAGTCGAATGACCGCTCTAACAATGGAAATACATGTCCTCAAAGAAAGAAGGCAGGCAGGAGGAGGCGAGATCAGGTGGGACCATTCTAGCCAATGAGAGGGCAGATACCCGTGTAAACAACAGGCACAACTCCGATATAAAGTTGTTTTTCTCAAAGTTGCCGAAATGCCACGTGCATACACTTATATCAGTGCATTCATAACAACCTAACCATTACGAAACTTCTATTCAATCAAATAAGCCTCACGTAGCAAATTACTAATATTTTTTTTGTTGATCAAATTTGACACTCTCATTGACCTCCATACAAAAATTCCTCAATTCATGGTCTTATTTTCATGGACAGATTTTGGGTGGACTAAACCCTCTCGCTTCGCCTCTTCCTCTCTGTTCCCAGGTTAATAATGAATGACATATTTCCAGAATTAGGCAAACACCGTTATGTTCTAAAACACAGATTCACCACATATTAGAAATGTGTATAAATGCCATACAAATGAAACAATTACTCAGAAAATAATCCTACACTAGTCCAGTACTCTGTCACAAGTATCTGCTACATAAAGAAAAAATATATAAATAATGCTAATGTTAATAAATATGCTAATAGTAATAATAATTATCATAGGGCTAATAAGAGTACTTGATTATGCTAATAGTTTTATTGCTAATGATAACAGTAACTATAATGATAATAGTGGACTTGAGATAAAATAAATACTGTGACAACGTTGATCCATTCTTGCAGGGACTTTATGAGCGACTACTTGTACTCTTCCCTCAAGATGTCCTCCTGCTCTCTGTGGATAACAAGCGCCTCAGCGTCAAATATGAGGTACAGTCAAATTATGTTCTCTAGGAAACAATGTCACAGTAAACACTGTGAACCTGGTGACCTTACCTAGTTTGCCTATTGCCGCTATACAGTAGATGTGTGACATTCTAAGATGTACAGTTTAGAAGATGTTGTAATTTATAGAGCTGATCCAATACTAACCTTTATCAATTCAAGATAAATGATACTTCAACCTGTTTGTCATAACACTTTAGGGTAGATTGCCTCGGAAAAGCATCACAGCCGTGGAGAGGTCTGCATTACCTGGGAGGCTGGAGTTCGAGTTAACAGGTAAAATACTAAACAGACATACTGTATGTCATACTGCTCTAACATGTTTGCATAATGAGGCAAATTTACCCTAAATTAACCATAGAAACTACGACTAGATCTGCAGCAAGTCAACTGTATCAAGTGTTGCTGTTTACAGTGGTGAAGAGCATTGTACTTCTATTGTATGTTGTGTGGTGCAGGTGAACTGATGGAGCCGCTGCAGGTATCCTGCACCTGTCCTGAAGACTATCAGAACTGGATCTTCCAGCTACAACAGGTGCAGTACCATTACAGTCCCGTTAAAAAGGGAAATGATGGAACAAAGCTAAAACTGATTGGAAAAACTGTGCGGCTAGCCTTCTGCCTATATATATCGATTCCAATTGAGCCATACATGTATATCCATTTTGTGAAGATGCAGGATGCTAAATATGAGTTAGCTTAGCCTTGAACTGTTGTGGTAGCAGGTTCATTTACAGAAGAAATGAAGTTAACGACAATAAGTCCCCAAAAGTAGTCCCAAAATATAAAAACCTAAAAATTCATTTATTTTCTCAATAGCTGGAAAAAAAACTCCAAGCTACCTCAAACCACACGGCTCCACCCCTCATGCCAAAAAAACAGCGGAGCAAGAAGGAGTCCCAGGAACCAATGACAGTAGCACCACAAGACTGAGACTCACTGGCCAATGGCCTCACTCAATAGAAGACTCATGCCTCTTTTCATCAATAGACACTGAAATTGTGGATAGCATGTACTGTATACAGTGTATATGCATACATTATTCAGTCTGGTACAATGAAATTAAGAGATTCTGGTGAAATGTCTTCTGCTGTAGGTTACTGTCTGTAGAACTCTGCTTCACTAGTGACAGTAATAGCAATTGATAGGCTAAATTGGGAGTATATTTTTAGTGCACTGATCTTACAATATTTTTCATCAAATTGCTTTTCAACCAAAATAGAAAATGTAGTGCTGTTCAAGACATTTTACATATTTTCTGTTATGATTGTTCTTGATACTGTATGTACAAACTCAATAAAAAAGTATTTTTCATCACTACCTGATAGATTAATTATTAATGACTAATTATTACACCCTGAAACTGTGTGAAATGTGTTAGAATGTGTGAGCGTAGGACCAGTAAAGACTATGACATTGAGCTACTATTTAGCAATGTGAGTAAGAGTTAGACCAGACAACCAAGGACAAGGAGAACTGTCTACAGGCAACTGAGAAACCAAGATAACTGAGGAATTTAGGGAGGAGAGAAACTGTTAGGTGTGTGTGTGTGTGTGTATGTGTTTGTGTGTGTGTGTGTGTGTGTGTGTGTGTGTGTGTGTGTGTGTGTGTGTGTGTGTGTGTGTGAACTGATGGTCAGGAGAGCAATTATAAAGTGGAAAACTACAGCCTGCCTACAGAGGGGAGGGATTTTTTTCTGACGTGTGCATATAAAAATATTGTACGACCATTTTGTTTTAGAATTCTCAATGAATACATCTCTGACTATGCAGACCGGGACTCTGTCCGTTACTTAAATCCCAAGACTTACAACCTTTTGGGAGATGCACAGAGACACTGAAATAGTTTGTTAAATAATTCACGTAACAGCTTGGTCCTTCGAGAGCCGGAATCCAATTCCTGCCTCTGTCATTCCAGGTAACTCTGAAAACCGTCGAATGATACATTCGTAAATAGAAAGTCCTGCCCTTTGACATTAAGGGTTAAGACAGGCCAGAGGACACCTGATTAATGACAGAGACGGTGACGGAATCCAAACCTACATTGAATCTCGGCTGCAAGGATAAGGTCAGTAGTCTTTATTCATTATTGGGGCAGTCTGGGATTGCTCAGGGTGGGTCCGTAATGATTCACGGTAATAGGCCATTACCAAAAGAAACTACCCTGTATTCAGAGAACCTGTAGTAGATTATAGAACAGTAATGTTCAACAAATAATCTGGGATAAAGAAATACAGCGAGGGGTGTACACCAGAAGGAATTAAAATAGCATGTGTGAGAAATATAATATTAGTAAAGTCAAAAGTCACAAACAACTGTAGATTTTGCCGTAACTCTATCCGTTTCATGAAAGTGGAGCCTTACAAACTCCGGGTTACCGATGGTGTTAACCAATAATCATGTAAGGTTGTATAAGTGTGAGACCTAATATTTGCTCAAAAGTCACATCTATGAATAATTCCAGGTGGTTGTATAAAGGAGGGAGAACCCATTCCTGTTGTGTGAGACTGTCAGGAATTATCAAAATTACATTATGGGGATAAATTCCTCCGTAGAGTAGGATATAATTCTGGGGGACTAGTACCTATACAGGAGGGGGTGATTCTAGGTGTGGTGTGAAACTGTTTTGAATAACTTGTTATATAGAAGAGGTGGCTAAGGGATTTTTAACAGTACCAACCATGGGAGGCAAATCCTCACAAGAGGTCCCAGAATTTATTGGGGACGAGAAATACATGGAAATTAGAGACAAACGAAATGTGTATTATTTACCTAATTGGGAAAAAAGGCCTAACTGGGTGACTTGATGTAATTAAACTGGAATCCATGATTAAACAAATGCATGTAAATTGTGGTACTGATCTAAATTAAACAGAAAAGAGAGTAATTAAACTAGAGTCCATGATTAAACAAATGCATGTAAATCGTGGTAATGATCTAAAGAAACAGAAAAGAGAGGATCAGGAGGATTCAGAGCTAAGCTCAGGAGGGAGTCAGTATGTGTCAGGAGATGAGAGAGTAGGAGGGGGCTAGTACCCACTGATAGCCTTACCTAATCTATTGGCGGGGAATGATACAGGCCATGAACACAGAGGACGTGGCCAGAGCGGTAGAAGGAAGACGTACCCCAAAACAGGAATAGTAAGGTTTGGGCTGCCATTAGAGGGCAGTGGGTTTCAGGGGATGCCCAGAGGGCACTTTTGCCATGGGCCGATCATGGAGAGTATGTTGGGAAAATAACTGAATTGATAGGGTGGAGAAAAGCACAGCAACACATATTGAGGTTAAAAAAGTATGCAGTTTACCAAGAGCAGATTGGGAGAGAGAAATAGGAGTAAGAGAGACCTTAAGGGAGTGCCAACTCTCAGAGAGATAGTGAGGCCAGAACAAAGGAGCAGTGTCCTGGAAATCACAGTCTGTTTAGTTTTTTCAGTTCTGCTGGGAGTGGCGCAGTGGTCTAAGGCACTGCATCACAGTGCTAGCTGTGCCACTAGAGATCCTGGTTCGAATCCAGGCTCTGTCGTAGCCGGCCGCGAACGGGAGACCCATGGGGCGGCACACAATTGGCCCAGCGTCGTCCAGGGTAGGGGAGGGAATGGCCGGCAGGGATGTAGCTCAATTGGTAGAGCATGGCGTTTGCAACGCCAGGGTTGTGGGTTCGATTCCCACGGGGGGCCAGTATGAAAAAATAATAATGTATGCACTCACTAACTGTAAGTCGCTCTGGATAAGAGCGTCTGCTAAATGACTAAAAATGTAAAAAATGTAAAAATATATTTGATGAAGGGAATGTGTTAAATTAGAGGCTAGAGACTTCATAAAATAATAATTGGAATAATAATTATATATTAACTTGCTCATCCAAACGTAGACATACGTCATGGGTGAGACATAATTAATATAATATTGTACAAAGCCAATTTAGGGTTTCCATTAAGGAACGTCAATCACTACATTGGATATTAATACTATGGAGATAAATTCAATATATGCTGGTCAACTACGGCATGTGTTTGGTGTTATTTGTAGCCTACTTAGAAAGGACAGTTACCTATATCTGCTGTATTCTAAACAATGACAGATTGGGGGTTTCATAAGAGGTGGCTATAATTTTTGTTGATAACAGAGGTAATTAGATTTGAGAAAGGTTGAATTGCATTGTTTAGGCTGACCGCCAGCTTTAAGCTGAATACAGGGGAACTAGAGAGGGCAGTCAGACAGATAGAGCTAAAGGACTGGGCGGCAGTGAGAGGAAACTGGGTTCCCGGAGATGGGAATGCGCCGGTTCTAGAGTGGGCAGAAGGAGGGGCTTATGGAGATAAATTGGCACAACTCTGTGATAATCTGAGATAATATTATCACAGACATGCCGACTTCTCCAAAGTCCATGAGTGTAAACAGGGAGACAGTGAGACTATTAGTCAATACCTAGGAGATAAGAGAGGTTACGGTAGCAAAGACAGACAAGAAGGAAACGGTAATAGTGGAGACAGGGGTGAGTGGAAGTGTTACAACTGTGACAAAACGGGACATTTTGCTAGAGAATGTGAGGAACCGTGTAGTTACTGTGCAAGGAAAGGGCACCAATTAAGAAACTGTAGGCAGAAGGGGAAGAGAGAAATCAGGAGTCCTCATGACCTGGCTATTTTGGTTTGTTGTGTTTTAATTGGGGTTTTCAAATAAAAAACAACACACCTAGTATGATGTTTATAAAGCCTTGTTATTTTGATTTTAGGGGGTTTTCAAAAGGTCAAAGGTGATAAGTCTTAAAGGAGCACACACAGTGAATTTTATGGAGTTTTTCTGTTTTGACTGAGTTTAGGGTATACATGATTTCTTATGAGAATAAATGTCATGAGGACTTAATGAACACTTGGGATAAGTAACATTTATGAAATATTTAGAATGATGGTAATGTTTAGTATACGATGGGATGGAACAGTTCGTTGAATGATTTCAATTGCCTCTGAACTCTGTTTTGACTTTCTGGTGTTAATTGATCATCCACACTGGTAAATTCTAAAGGCATGAGAGGAGGACTTTAAGATAGTTTATTTTACCAAGTTGAGGGTAATTTATAGTACTGTGTGATGAAATTTATAATTTGGTAATAATATACACTGCTCAAAAAAATAAAGGGAACACTAAAATAACACATCCTAGATCTGAATGAATGAAATAATCTTATTAAATACTTTTTTCTTTACATAGTTGAATGTGCTGACAACAAAATCACACTAAAATTATCAATGGAAATCAAATTTATCAACCCATGGAGGTCTGGATTTGGAGTCACCCTCAAAATTAAAGTGGAAAACCACACTACAGGCTGATCCAACTTTGATGTAATGTCCTTAAAACAAGTCAAAATGAGGCTCAGTAGTGTGTGTGGCCTCCACGTGCCTGTCTGACCTCCCTACAACGCCTGGGCATGCTCCTGATGAGGTGGCGGATGGTCTCCTGAGGGATCTCCTCCCAGACCTGGACTAAAGCATCCGCCAACTCCTGGACAGTCTGTGGTGCAACGTGGCGTTGGTGGATGGAGCGAGACATGATGTCCCAGATGTGCTCAATTGGATTCAGGTCTGGGGAACAGGCGGGCCAGTCCATAGCATCAATGCCTTCCTCTTGCAGGAACTGCTGACACACTCCAGCCACATGAGGTCTAGCATTGTCTTGCATTAGGAGGAACCCAGGGCCAACCGCACCAGCATATGGTCTCACAAGGGGTCTGAGGATCTCATCTCGGTACCTAATGACAGTCAGGCTACCTCTGGCGAGCACATGGAGGGCTGTGCGGCCCCCCAAAGAAATGCCACCCCACACCATGACTGACCCACCGCCAAACCGGTCATGCTGGAGGATGTTGCAGGCAGCAGAATGTTCTCCAGACTCATGTTATGTCTGTCACGTGCTCAGTGTGAACCTGCTTTC